TTGTACGACAATCATGGATTAATCATGAATAAGATTCCTGATTTTCTGTCCAAAGTTAGTTCCAAAACATCAACTCCAACGATTTTTTGTAAGCTGTCAAAACAATCTCTGTAAAACTGCCTAAAATGAACTTGCCAATATTTTCTGGTGACAAACGAAAATGGACTAGTTTCTGGGATGTTTTTCAAAGCGAGATTCATGAATGTGAGGACATTTCTAACGTAACTAAATTCAACTACCTGAAGAGCCAACTTTCTGAATCTGTTAAACGTAGAGTTGAAGGAATTTTAGCCAGTGATGATAATTATGGTCTGTTAGTGCAAACATTGCTGGACAATTTTGGTAATAAGATTGCTATCAAAAATGCACATTGTACTGCACTTGTGTTTGCTACTAAACCACAATATAATGCTGCATCTCTCAGACTATTCTATGATGGTATCAACGCTGATGTTAGATCATTGTCAACACTTGGATTACATGCTGTAGCTTATGGTGAATTTTATGTTCCAGTACTGTTGGAGAAACTACCTTCTGAAGTACTTGCAGAAGTCTTGAAGCAGTACCCAGATGATAACCCTTGCCTTGACCAGTTGAAGCCTTTGCTTTAACTGCCTAAGGGATTCACATACAGTTAATTCCTGTACCAGTGAGTGGAAATGCTGTGTATGTAGGCAAGCTCATCATACAGCTTTACATTGTGCACGACTGCTCACTACACAGAACTACACAAAGAAGTCATCGTTGTCGACTCAGCCAAGTACAACTGCATCAACAGTTCTGAAAATCGACTACGGCGATGTTGGGTTAGTTAGCATCATTACAGAAGATGGTCCAGTTACCATTGAGACTCATTTCAAGGAAACCATTGTACAACCAATAGATTGCAGAAATTGGTCTGATTGTTTGAAGTTACCACATCTCCAAGGTCTAACTTTAGCAGACACCTTCCAGCATACCAGTTTTCCAGTCGACATACTTATTGGTGCAGATTCGGTATGGCAATTCTTGAAACCACAAGTCTACATTGGCTACCCAACAGCACAAGCATCCAACTTAGGTTATCTTTTATCTGGTCCACTACTTGATGCCTCTACCAATGCTGAATTTGATAAAAGCGCAACACAATGTTCAGTTGGTACATCAATGGATTCGTTTGAAGATGTAAGCTGGTTACCTAGTAATTTTGACAGGGATTTTTATCGACGAGTTCACAATGCTCTACAGATTGAGTCTATTGGAATCAACGATTCAAATCCTGTAACTCTAGACAAAGAATTCGTCGACCGATTCATCAGCCAGATAGAATACAGAGATCTAATATACTTTGCTCCTCTACCGTGGTTAGATGATCATCCACCTTTAAAGTCTAATTTACGTATTGCATTGAATCGTCTTCAACAGGTTAAACAACGATTGCTGAAACTTCATCTATGGGAACCTAATGATCGGATTATAGCAGAGCAGTTGACAAAGGGTTACATAGAGCCAGTACCTACAGAATCAGCATGGACAGAAACTAATGCACACTATTTGAGTCGTTTCTTCGTCTTACGGCCTGGGAGCGAAACTACACCACTGAGAGTTGTATTTGCTGCTAATGCAGGAACTGTATCCCTGAATGACTGCTTGCAAACAGGTCCATGTCTTCTAAAGTCACTCTACGAACTTTTGCAACGATATCGAGTCAAGAAATATGCATTTGTCGCTGATATTGAGAAAGCCTTTCTTCGCATCAAACTATTAGAAGAAGATAGAGACTACGTGCGGTTTATATGGTATGAAGATGGTGATCCAGAAAAAGCTTTAAAAGTATACCGTTATACTTCTGTCTTCTTCGGTGGAACCAGCTCACAATTTATCCTGAATGCAGTAATCAGTTATCATCTTTCGGAGTACATTACCTGCAATGGTGGCCCATCAACTGAGATTGCTGAAGACCTCCAGAGTAAGCTGTACTGCGATAACGTCTTATCTGGTCAAGATGATGAAGAATCTTCAATTAACTACTATCGAATGTCACGTCAGTTAATGAGAGATGCCGACATGAATCTTCGTCAATGGTTTACAAATTCGCCGAAGATGCAAGATCTCATCGACGCAGACGGTTCTGGTTCTTCACTTCTAACATCTGGTTTACTTGGTATGGTTTGGGAAATTAAAGAAGATACGATGCAGTTTCCTAAGAAGACACTGGTTATACTCGAAGAACGTATGTTAACCAAGCGACTAGCTTTAAGTCGCACTTCTTCATTGTATGATCCAATTGGTTTTATATCACCAGTTGTTGTTTTGGCGAAGAAATTTATTTCAACTCTGTGGACGTCTAATACCAAATGGGACGACGAGGTACCAGACGATGATCTAGTCGAATTTAATGGTATTCTTCACGAGATTGAATTGGCATCAACCTTACCTATCGTTCGACACTTACAACTTGATACTTCAGAAAATGTTCAACTGCATATTTTCTGTGATGCCTGTCCTTCAACAGCAGTAGGCTGCGTAGCATACCTGGTTCAAGAAGATACCATTGTATTTATTGGCTCAAAGTACAAGATAGCTTCATCTATAAGTACACAGTTCCGAGATGGGAATTGACAGCGATGCTGATTGTTGCCCAGTTTGCGGTTGTACTGACTGGTATCTTCAAGAAAGATTTTGTCAACCTAACTAGCCACTTTTGGACAGATTCGACTTACAGACATCAACTCATGGTCACATGTAAGTTCTGAAGACAACCCTGCTGATATTTTGTCCAGAGGATGTACTTCAAGCCATTTACAGAAGTCATCACTTTGGAAGTTAGGACCAAAATGGCTGAAAGATCCAGATTTATGGCCACAATGGAATCCTTCAGCTGATTTTTCAAACGAAGAACAAATAACTTTGTCTGCTGTAGCTAATGACAGTCACGAAAATGGTTATTTGTCACAACTGGTTGATGTTGAACGCTTCAGTTCCTATACCAGTCTTCTTCGAACAGTGGCAATTGTATTAAGATTCGTCAAATTGTTGAAAAGTCGACAACATTCCAGAGAATTACTAGCAGAAGGTCGTCTGACAGTTCAAGAGCTCCATGATGTTGAAGTTAGACTTTTACATAAACACCTACTGGAGTATTTTGAGGAGGAAGTAACCTTTCTGAAGAAATGTACCAAACCTACGCCACAGTTAATAAAGCAACTTAACCTACAGTTCAACAGTGACGGTCTTATTGTTGCCCCTGGCAGACTTGAGCATGCCATGCTCAACGACAGATCAAGATTTCCAGTCCTTATTGCTAAAAATTCTCTCTTCACTGAATTGATAGTAAAGTCTGTTCACTACCAGCAACTACATTCTGGTGTAAGCTGTACGATTAATGCCTTGCGAAAGAAATTTTGGTTACCATCTGCAAGAAGCTTTGTTTCCAAGATACTTAGAAGATGTGTTACCTGTCTACATCAAATGGGTAAACCATTCACTTTGCCTTTGTCTCCAGCTTTACCTGATTTCCGGTTAAATAAGCTGAAACCATTTTCATCGCTTGGTGTCGACTATACAGGCCTGTTCGAGGCAAATCTCATTCTATTTTATATAAAGAATCTGGTTTTACTAGTTTAAGTGATCGAAGATTTTCACATCAAGTTATTTTATAAAATGATAAACAGAATGACACCTCAATATCTAAGTATTCTGGTTCCCCCGAATGTTTTAACTGTAAATCCATATAATGTTCGACACGGTTCTCAGCTTCGCACCTTGCCCTGGCAAACAGTTTCCTATAACTCTTCTTTCCTTCCTTCTGCTATACAAACCTGGAATTCTTCTTCTCTGTCTACACAAAAAAAACGAGCTCTCAAAATATATTTCTAAATCTTCTGTCCCTGCATATTTTTACTTAGGTGATCGTTTTCCCCAAATTTTCCATACCAGATTACGGCATCGTAAAAGTACCTTACAAGCTCTCAAATTCCTTATGAACATCAGTGACACTTCATCATGTTTATGTGGACATACCTTCGAGGATTCAGAGCATTACTTACTCCATTGCAGACTATTCTCAAATATGCGCAACATGACAATAAATCTCCTTTCATCTCACCATCGTTCTATCTCTTCTCTTCTATTTGGCAATTCAGACCTCCCTTTAAGTAGCAATGTTCATATTTTTTCTACTGTTCATAAGTTTATTTCTCTGTCCAAGCGTTTTGACAAATAATACTGCCGATATATACTCTCCCTACTACGTTTCGAAATTTACTACTGTATAGCTTAGAATATGTCGCCACTTTATACCAATGAATAGATTTCCGGCCTTATTTACATATTTCATTTTACTATAATATAATATAGACTTGCTGTTGCACAAATTCAAATATTCTTTATCCTAAAAAATTGTAAATTATTTTGTATATAGATACGGTCGAAACAGACTAATATAAGCCTTATGCTTGTCTCTGGGTCGACTATTGTGTATTCATGTATTGTATTTTCTTCTTTATATTTTGTACTTTGTATAGAAATAAATATTGTTGAAACTAATATACATGATGTAACTACATATACAATTGCTCTTCATAACTAGACTCGTCTATAACAAAGTTCTCATACTAAATAATAATATATTTCAAATTGGATGCCGAAGGATATCATACCCGCCAGACGACCATAAATATTCACATAAATAAATAAACCAGGTACAAGTATTAACGATCCGAAGCGCAAAACGAAACCCAAAATTCAAAAAAACAGGTTGACAATACATTGGTAACAGCTAATGAATTTTAACATCAATTCCCAAAATTTCATTACGATAGGGCAGAATGTAACATTTTGAGGGGAATACCATACACTTTGCTATCACTGTCGAATGTGAAATTTTTTGAGATACCATTTTTAAGAATAGATAGTTCCATGTCTAACTGATAAAAGCCTTTAGTTTCAGATTCTTCTAGTATAGCTTGTTTACAAAACGGAGATAAAACCTTGTTCTGGACAAACACTGATTTGTGAAGATGGAAGATATTAATGTCAATGCTTATTCCAAAATAGACTATGAATGCGTTAGTCGGAGAGAGTATTACATATTGTCATCCACGGCATCGAAATCGATATGGCCTCGGGTAGCCTCTACAAAGCCATCGCCACCAGTACAGCCATCAACTAGAATCCAAAAGCCAATACCCACATCAACTACAACTGTTCTTTCCCCATTTCCGAGTGAACCAACCACTAAAACAAACTCAATCAAAGTTGCTGTTACAACAGTAAAAAGCAACAAACACCATCAGTCGAACAAACAACCCTCAGGTAAAAATAAATTCTATATGATTAAAAATAAAAGGTTTTATATATTGTAATAATTACTAATTATTAATCTAAGTAGGACTGATCCATTTAACATGTTCCATATTATCCTAATTAACCATATCTAACAATTAGGATGTCTGACTAATGGGATGGGGTGTCTGACTAATGGGATGGGATTTCTGACTAATGGGATGGGATTTCTAACTGATGGGATGGGATGTCTGACTAATGGGATGGGATGTCTAACTAATAGGATTGGATGTCTAACTGATGGGATGTCTGACTAATGGGATGTCTGACTAATGGGATGGGATGTCTGACTAATGGGATGTCTAACTAATGGGATGTTTAACTGATGGGATATAACCGCTTTACCAGCTGAAATGATTTCACGCAAGTGTATCAAATAGATACAAAATGTTTATGATATTGATAAGTGTTATGCAAATCAAATCCGAGACAAATAGTTTTTGAAATATCCCATATATTCTTTATAGGAGCTGTAATAGGGGGCATAGTCAGTGGTGTTATACTGATGGTTGTTCTAATAATGATTACTATATTCTTCATTAGACGGTATGTTACAAATCAATAACATCACAGGTATCTGAAGTTTCTCAATTGTAACCTATAGTATCTCAACTAGTCTATAGTCAACTATAGTATTCAGCAGCTACGTATTACATTTGGGAAACTTCAAATACCTGTGATAATATACACCATATAAAAGCACAAGATATATGGATACCATTTCTAGTACAGTTTGTCGTCTTCAAATTCATATTGCTCTTTTTTTGCTGATCTATGGGCTAACCTATTTCTCCAAGTATACGAAACGTTTTCAATAGTTTAACAGTTTCTGGTTTATTGTTTTTTTGTTTTAGACACAGAATGAATCCGATGCAAGCACCTAAGCGCCACATGCCGAGAACTGTTTCTCGAGAAATTCGAATTTCAGCACCCATTGCTCTTCAAAGTACCACAAATACCATGAGTTGTAATAGTCAGCAGAATTGTCGTAATTCCAATTCTAACTCTGAATATGAAAATGTTGAATTAGAAACTACAATTGATCCGACGCCTACTACTGATGATGTTTATTATGAGTTAGGAACGAACCCGCCCCCCCTCAGTGACTGATGTTTATTATCAGTTAGAAGCTGAAAGCTTGCAGACTTTCCATTCATGCCTGGATCTGGAAACACAATCTGAGCTTCAACCTCCTGGTGCTGACATCTACAATCATTAAGGAGAGGATAACTCCCAAAAAACAAATCTGGACCTAAGTGATTATAATCATACAAGTGATTTTTGTAAGAAAATCTTACACAACACGAGCAATCATTCATTTCTATAGTCCGAAACATCTGTATCTATTCAAGCCTCTTATAGATATTTTGACAGTTATCTCCTAGAGTACACTCAGAAAATGCAGACCCTGTTTAATGAGAATTTCCTCGCTTACTGATAAAAAAAACAACAACATTGTTTCACACTGGCTTCTTGCCTTGCCTCAGGAAATTTGATGTATCTGTTTGATAAGTTCTTGGGAGTAAGAGCTCTAGAGTAAGTGGTGTTTTAAAATTCTAAAATCGCTGTAAGTTAAAATCACGATGTAAGTAGGTATAGAGAATACCACTTACTATATTGTAAGTTAAATTACTACCTTACAGCTGATTTGAAGGGATTTTAGTTTTCGAGGATAAGGTATCAGCTGCTGTCTTTGGTGATGGGAATATGATGAGGTTTCAACTAGGAGATAGGTGGAGTAAAATCACAATTTTCCTCATGCACACCGCGGTTCATCTTGCTAACACTTCTATTCTCAAATAGATATGTGATTATTATTTGTTCAAATTGTCATGGATTCCTAAAAATCAAAATTCACTGTTTGTCTAAATATGATAACCATTACTAACATGTAAAAAACCTGACAAAACCAGCAGCAGTTGAAGGTAGAATGTAGGCAACTTTGCTTTTAAAAATCAACATCTGTTGTAATTCTTTTATATTAACGTGAATAATTCAACCAACTATGAAACTTTGAATTTAAATTAGCAGAACTCAATGAATAATAATTAATAGATGGTGATAACAATATTATACTTGTTGAAATATTGGAGGATAAATTGATGCCCAGTTGACAAACAATTGTGGTAGGCGGTCTGAAAGAATAACCTAATACTGATCGCAACAAAACTAATGGCATTGACTTTAAATTCAATAAAGAAATTGAATTATTTTATGGGAATCAATGCATATATTTTAGCAGCTAATCGAATCGATATACAGTAATCGAGCAAAGCTATTCTGAAGCGTCGTTACTCTGATAACTTCCGCTTTAGTAATGGCGTCTAAAATGTTTACTCCGTTTCTAAAATATAAATAAATATTGCACAATTTCGACATACATAAAGTTTGACAGTTTTTCATTACGACACATTTCATACCTAAAAAGACAACAGATGCGTAAAGTAGTATTTTTTATTTATCCTTTTTGGGGGCAGGGTGGGAAACCGCCAGTTTGAAAAGTATTTAATTCTTTGATTCTGATAAGACAAAAATCTGATTAACTTTGCGACACCTTATTAAAGGGACAGATTCCCATTTTGGGGGGTTGATTTGAGTCTTGAATATATGTATATAGTCTATAGTACAAGAAATCTGCGAAAGAATTTCACTTTCTTTTTCTATATATGTCTTGTCTATAAATGGCAGTGCCTAAAAAAAAAGACGAGTCAGTAATCTAACAGTCAAACGCGGATAATTCTGGACACCATGGATATGAAGGCTAAGATATGGACGGTGATAAAAAAACAGAATTACTAATTACGATAGCTAAAAAATTTCCGTTTCTGAGACTCAAGTACAGTTGGTCAAAGAGAATGATGGCGAATTTGTCTCTTTTAAGCACTCGTCAAACCACTAATATTTCAGTTCGAGAAATCAAAATAACTTATTGAAGGGTGTGAGAACTCACAAAACAAAGACAGAACTTAAATGAAAAGGAGAGAATTATTTCCTGCTTTTCATTGCTGGACATTTTACCAAGACAGCATCTTAATGTGTAACAAATTACAGTATAAATATATATAAATAACATGGAGTTTTCTAATCATGCAGCTTGAAAATTACAACGGCGGACATTTCGAAGGACTGTAGTACAAGTTTACTCTTTTTCAATTGTTCTCGTTAAAGGGACAGAATCGCCATCCGTTTGACCAATCGTTATTTACTCGCAGAAACAAGAATTTTTTTTATCTAATCTCATCAGTAATAATGTTCACAGCTCACAGTCGAACTTGGAGCCTTCAAATCCATGTGTGTACAGAATTATCCGCGTTTGAACGATTCGTCTTTTCTTAATACTATACCATATATAGAAATAACATAATATAGGAAAAGGATGTGAAATTTCTAGTTGGAAGTATATTTAAAGGGATTCTGAGATTTCCGTGCAGTTCTGATAGTTCTGAAGACTATTTTCATATATTCAAGACCCAAATCAACCCCCGAAAATGGCTTTTAAGTCAAGAGACCGTTTTAAATAGATAGATAGATTAGTCCAGTGACGAGTTGGCTTTTCTCGCTCTCTGACTACAGAAACAAAACTTGCTTAGGCATACCACATAAAGGTCATGGACTTTCTTGATAATATAGACAAATAACTAGTAACATTTGTTTTAAAACAATGCTTCACAAAATTTTGAGCTAGCATCAATGTCAGATGGTTTGGTCGAGAAGCCACCGATAAACAGCTAGGGTCCTCGAGAACAGTTCAATTATGTTCTGCAACTCGTTATAGTAGGAACCTAGCAATTAATCGATATCGAGGTATGTGTTGTATTCATTATAAAAAATGACAACAGTTATGAGTTTAAGAATTTAAAATTTACATGAATACATCCCTTTATAGATTGATTCTAATTAGATGAATCATATTCAAGCAAAAATTGATTTAAATGACAATGTGGAAGGTTTTGATTGGGTGTTGTTGGGTATTTAAGTTGTGGCTGTCGAGTCGAGTATAGTCGGCGATTTCAGATTACTTGTCATCTACTATAAGCACAAGTTGAGTTACACCTTAAAGAGCTGTTAAACTGACAACATGGTAAACCGGGTAGCTGTTATATTTTGTGGTAAGATAGTAATATACATGTATATAAATTACTGTATTAATCTGATATTAGTATTATAATTGTTAATCTGATTTCAAAAGTGGTGGCGTAAACGGGCCAGACGTCGGCAACAGTTATTAGGGACAAAATCGCCTTTCGTTTGACCAATCGTACATTAGTCTCAGGAACGAAATTTTTTAAGCTAAGCTACCCAGTAATAGTGCTCCCAGTTCACCGTTTAAATTTGAGCCTTCAAATCCCTGTGTGTCCACAATTAGCCGCGTTTGAATGTTAAAGCTCTCTTGAAATAGAAATTAGATTTAAATTGAAATTATCGTTTGAAGTAATTTGAAGGGATTTTGCGATTTTCGTGCAGTTCTATTATCTCTGAAGTCTGTTTACATATTATATTGAAGAACCATAGCCTTAAACTCACCCAACTAAATAATTCCTGTATTTTTCAGTTTATCTCTGTGCTGCACACCAAGTGTATTCAGGTAAATTATTTTCTGTATTTCAATATACTTTTAAAGTGACAACTCTTCCCAGCTCAAGAAACTTAAATTTCTCATCGGCAAAAAGAACTTAGTTTACGACTTTATGCCATGCCGAAGGTCGACTGGAATTTAAACATTTTATATCACTATGGAAATTGGTCACGTTGCCGAGGTCAGTCTAAAAAATCATACGAAATAACACACACGAACGTATTCAACCATTTTGAATCTCTTCCTTAACTAAATAAGTCGAATTATTTAAAATGGCTATATATTTCAACAAAGCCTTCGAATCACATTTAAAGCCACTTCTAAACCTTAAAATCCGATTTGAAGGCTGAGTCGAAATTCGACTCATTAAGTCGAGGAATATATTCAAAATGGTTGTTAACTACCTTCGTGTGTGTTATTTCCATGTAAGAACCATACATAGTTTTGTATGTGATTAAAATAAGACCAAACTTTCGTTCCGTTTTACATATCCCCACCAAGTAGGGTCTAAAGACTCTACTTGCTATGGCTTGCTCTCGAAGTACACTGGGCGAATTCAAAACAACCAATAAAAAAGCGTGTTCCAACAACGTTTAGTTTCCATGGACTCGATAGACTAGTCTAATGCTCCTCGTAATACACCTTTTGTTCGAGTCACATACTCCCTGCTGGAGTGGGAAGATATTTGATTGGTTGACTTTGTCATCAAACAGACAAATATTTATATCGCAAAATCTAGACCCTAACTGGAGCTAAAAATTTTGGTATAATTTTATTACACTGTGCACAAGCAAGATGTGTATCTACGCAGTTTGTACGCATCGGCAAGTGATAAACATCTATTAAGCTGTGGAGGAGTTCGTTCTAGACTGTTTAATGCAGTGGTTCCCAACCTTTCTCGGCCTCCACACCCCTGTAGCAGTCACCTGGACCTTTCACACCACCCAAAACCCCAGACACCCTAGTCCCTAGTTGGGAACCGGGGGTTTAAGGTGACCTAAAGCGGCATTGTTTTTTTTTCTTCAGCTATCCTGACCAACTACAAAACCGAGGCCGGAGTCATTAGTCTTCTAAAGATGCGTGCATATTTTCTTTTCGTTGACTATGATGACGACCATATTTTAACACACGAGAATTGTTTGAGGTTCCTTCTCATAGATGATTTAAATGATGATGGTGAAGTAACGTATGAGGAGGTCGAGAAGTCACACCCGAATGATACCAGAATTCCTAGTCGTATTTTCCACACTTGGGATGCAAACCTTGATCGCGTTATTAATAATAAGGATATCGTTATGCTCTTCGAAGAGCTTCCCGGAAGCGGGAATGAATTGGATTTACAAGAAATTTTGACGATTGGTTCCAGTAGAACGAATGAAACAACTGGACCAGTAATGAAGATACAGTCTTTTGTCCAAGCTGAGAGAGATTTCTTGATAATTGATGAAAATGATGACAATATTTTGACTAAAAAGGAATTTCAAGTGGAATTTAAAGTAGCCGACAAAAATAAGGACGGAAAATTGGAAGAGTCAGAAGTACGCAATATGTTCCCCATGAGAAGTACTCCTCCAGAAAAGATTTGTCCAAACATCGCTGTAAGCTGCTCTGTGGAAGACGTCATGTCTCTATTCGATGCAGCAGACCAGAATAAAGACTCCCAGTTGAGCATTAATGAATATATTATACATTTTGGATTCTTGATTAAAAACTAATCTCAAAAGATATATTAACACTTGATTCAAATTATAATTACATGAAATAAAATTTTACTGAGCAATCTCTTATCTCGTATTTTCAATGTCTGTTTTGTTTATCTGTGTTTGTCCGGTGGAAGGCCCACTAACATGGTTCCTGCAATTCCATTAAAACTAAGTCATTGATGAAGTCATTAAATCGCAAATTAGGCTTGAATCACACAAGATCATTCACGATTAGTGACGTTATTACACACTTAGTTTCAGTTGAATTGCATGAGCCACAGACGTCTGGTTGAAAATTCGAATGAAGCAAAATGTTGCTATCAGTGTCCCCGATACACATAATAAAACCTCTTTACAATCCCTTTAATGAATGTGTGCAGTACAAGTTGCAAAATTAATGAACTAATGAAGTACAGTTATCCCGCGGCTTTTGGAGCATTTGAAATTTCCATTTTGTTAGCTTTCAACCTCAGTTCCTTTAAGCCAACAATTTGTGAACAAGAAATTAAAACTCTGGGATATCTAGTAAATAAATCAAGTCTATAATTATACTTTAAGTCACAGTCCATTTTGCAAGTTGTTTTTCTTCTTTTTTTTGTCTGGATAATCTATACTAAAGAATTTGAATTATCGTTTATGGGAAATAGACTTGAATAATGTGCCTTTTTCAAGATTTTAGTTTGATGTCGCCAGATATAAATCTGATATTTGATAAACCATTGGGTGTAACTCTTTATCCAAATTCTTTCACCCCAGAATGGCACAAATATGAAAAAGGCACATTATTCAAGTCTATTTCAAATGTTTATCATTTGCCGACGCCTAAAATTTTAAATTCTTAAATTCTGAAACCCATAACAGTTGTCATTTGTTATAATGAATACAACACATACCTCGATATCGATTAAAAAAATATTTTATAATGCTAGGTTCCTATTATAACGATTTGCACTTCGACACTTCACTTCACGGCTTTTTTCAAAATTCCCTCGAATGTGTACACTCAAATTCCATCAATATCATGAATTCTGGACTTATTTCGAACTCGTCTTTCAATAATTGCACTTTCAACGTGGCCGCTCCGTCAATTTTCAGACAGTAGACTACAAATACAGTGACCTGCTTATTGCTGATTGGCTGTTTTGTAGTCTCTATTGTTAGTACCAGTTCATGTTAAAATGTTTTGTATTTATGCGCCAATTTAGTACCTTAAGTTGTTATTTTATATAAATATTTTAAAAGGAGTTGAAATAATTATTAGGTATGACCTGACATTTTTTTCACTTTATCGATGCATAAACAGAAAAAAAACCTGTGTACACTTATGTATAAACCGAAACGCGGATTTATACAGTGTACACAGGATTTAGGTCATTTAATAAATATTTCTACCTGCACTACAATAAAAGTTATGGGAGTGGCTTGCATCTCCATCTTGTTGAGGTGCTTGACACCATTACATGAGCTGCTATAACATATTGTCTGATTTACATATTGTTGAATATCTTTATTATACTAATACACACAAGATATAAGGCTATATTTATATTACAGTCAAAAACAAACATCAAACTGAATATTCTGAAAAACAATGATAAAAACTTAATTATTATATGTTATAGATGTTTCAGTAAATCATTGAAATTTTTACTTCAAAGTGATATATTAATTAAGTCTAATAAAGTTATTATCGACTGGAGTAAAGTCAGAAAAACTAGGCCCTATTTTATGGATATATTCACACCTCTTGTTTCACACTGGCTTCTTACCTAGCGTCAGTAAATTTGATGTTTCTGTTTGATAAGTTCTTGAGAGCATTGAGCTACTGCTTTAACACAGCGGCTAACAGATTCTTCTGACAAGGTGTCGGGAAGACTAGTTGGCAAGACCCACAAGCAAAAAACCTCAGTGACACAAGCACCGATAAAGGCACCAACAGAGATGATGATCGCCGAGTGTGGCGTTTCAAAAAAAACACTAAGACATCTTGCGTCGCAGCTGTGCGTAGTCGAAGTGGGACAGCATAATTGAGCTACTGTATACAGTCATGACGTCATTGTCCAGACATTCAAATATTCAAGTCTGGTAAATGGACGACTCGATGAGATCACATTGTAACATAGATTACGGTAAGCTGTGAACATTTTACTGATTAGTTCAGGGGAACAATTCACGTTTATAATCCTGTCACTGTTCGCCTTATTCGGTGGTTAATCGAGGTCTTGAATATATGAATATAGTCATCAGAACTGCATACGAATCCCTTTAAATATACATCCAACTAGAAATTTCACATCCCTTTTCTATAGATGTCCTTTCTATATATTGTATAGTATCAAGAAAAGACGAGTCGTTATTTTAATTTTCAAACGCGGATAATTCTGTTCACACATGGATTTGTAGGACCGTGAGCTATTAACATTATTACTGATTACCTAGCTAAAAAAACACATTTCTGAGAGTAGCCAACGATTAGTCAAACGGATGGCGAATACCCTTTAAAGAGAACAATCGAAAAAGAGAAAGCTATTGCTACGGTCCTTCGAAATGTCCGATGTTCGATTTTCGTAGATTTCTAGTAAACATTTTAGACGCCATTACTGAAGAGGAGGTTATCCGAGTAACGACGCTTCAATTACTTTTTTAACTGCTGCTGGTTTTTTTACATGTTAGTAATGGTTATAATAATTAGACAAACAGTGAAGTTTGATTTTTAAGAATCCATGACAATTTGAACAAATATATATATATCTATTTGGGAATAGAAGTGTAAGCAAGGTGGACCTCGGAGTGCAGAGGCAAATTGTGATTTTACTCACCCTATATCCTAGAAACCTCATCATACCCCCATCACCAAAGACAGCAGCTGATACCTTATCCTCGAAAACTAAAATCCCTTCAAATCAGCTGTAAGGTAGTAATTTAACTTATAATATAGTAAGTGGTATTCTCTAAACCTTCTTACAACGTGATTTTCACTCGCAGAGGAGCAATCGAAGCAAAAGTGTAGATTAACCACATTGTCGACCTCCTTTATGTTCCAGTGTGAAACAAGGTTTTTTTTTATTTTATCAGAAAGCAAAAAAATACCCATAAAACAGTTCCTAGTTTTTCTGACTGTACTCCAGTCGTTATCCATCAGAGGCTGGAATAGAGACAGATGTTTCGGACTATAGAAATGAATGATTGCTCGTGTTGCGTAAGATTGTCTTAGTGGTGCTAAATAAACAACTAAACATTAAGAACCATTTGGTGGTTCCTAGCTCATATCTATGCTTGTATTGTTTAGCATGGGTATACAGATAGATATAGGTTTATGTAGATTTCTTCTCTTCAATAGTATCATGAATATGGTTATAGTCACAATTCACCAAATTTGCTTCCCGCCTTTTAAATTCGTCTGCGCTTATATGATGGTAATTATCACTGTATTCACAAAAATCACTTGTATGATTATAATCGCTAAGATCCAGACTTTGGGAGTTATCCTCTCCTAAATGATTATAGGTGTCACCACCAGGAGGTTGAAGCTCAGATTGTGTTTCCGGACTCAGGCTTGAATAGAAAGTCTGCAAGCTTTCAGCTTCAACATTTTCATATTCAGAGTTAGAATTGGAATTACGACAATTTTGCTGACTATTACAAATCGTAGTATTTGTGGTATTTTGAAGAGCGATAGGTGCTGAAATTCGAATTTCTCGAGAAACAGTTCTCGGCATGTGGCGCTTAGGTGCTTGCATCGGATTCATTCTGTGTCTAAAACAAAAAAAAAAAAAACAATAAACCAGAAACTTGTATATGTTAAACTATTGAAAACGTTTCGTATACTTGGAGATAAAGTTTAGCCCATAGATCAGCAAAAAAAGAGCACTATGAATTTGAAGACGACAAACTGAACTAGAAATGGTATCCATATATCTTTTGCTTTTATATGGTGTATATTTTCTCGGGTATTTGAAGTTTCCCAAATTTAACACGTAGCTGCTGAATACTATAGTTGACTATAGACTAGTTGAGATACTATAGGTTACAATTGAGAAACTTCAGATACCTGTGATGTTATTGATTTGTAACATACCGTTTAATGAAGAATATAGTAATCATTATTAGAACAACCATCAGTATAACACCACTGACTATACCCCCTATTACAGCTCCTATAAAGAATATATAGGATATTTCAAAAACTATTGATCTCGGATTTGATTTGCGTAACACTTATCAATATCATAATCATTTTATATCTATTTGATACACTATTTGAAATCATTTCAGCTGGTAAGGCGGTTATATCCAATCAGTTAGACAGCCCATTAGTTAGACAGCCCATTAGTCAGACATCCCATCAGTTAGACATCCCATCAGTTAGACATCCCATTAGTCAGACATCCCATTAGTCAGACATCCCATTAGTCAGACATCCCATCAGTTAGACATCCCATCAGTTAGACACCCCATTAGTCAGACATCCCATCAGTTAGACATCCCATCAGTTAGACATCCCATCAGTTAGACACCCTATTATTTAGACATCCCATTAGCCAGACATCCCATCAGTCAGACATTCCATTAGTCAGACATCCCATCAGTTAGACACCCCATCAGTTAGACATCCCATTAGTCAGACACCCCATTAGTCAGACATCCCATCAGTTAGACATCCCATCAGTTAGACATCCCATTAGTTAGACATCCCATTAGGCAGACATCCCATCAGTTAGACATCCCATTAGTCAGACATCCCATTAGTCAGACATTCCATTAGTAAGACATCTCATCGGTTAGACATCCCATTAGTCAGACATCCCATCAGTTAGACATCCCATTAGTCAGACATCCCATCAGTTAGACATCCCATCAGTTAGATATCCCATTAGTCAGACATTCAATCAGTTAGACATCCCATTAGTCAGACATCCCATCAGTTAGACATCCCATCAATTAGACATCCCAATAGTCAGACATCCCATTAGTTAGACATCCCATCAGTTAGACATCCCATTAGTCAGACATCCCATCAGTTAGACATCCCATCAGTTAGACACGCCATTAGTCAGACATCCCATCAGTTAGACATCCCATCAGTTAGACACCCTATTATTTAGACATCCCATTAGCCAGACATCCCATCAGTCAGACATTCCATTAGTCAGACATCCCATCAGTTAGACACCCCATCAGTTAGACATCCCATTAGTCAGACACCCCATTAGTCAGACATCCCATCAGTTAGACATCCCATCAGTTAGACATCCCATTAGTTAGACATCCCATTAGGCAGACATCCCATCAGTTAGACATCCCATTAGTCAGACATCCCATTAGTCAGACATTCCATTAGTAAGACATCTCATCGGTTAGACATCCCATTAGTCAGACATCCCATCAGTTAGACATCCCATTAGTCAGACATCCCATCAGTTAGACATCCTATCAGTTAGATATCCCATTAGTCAGACATTCCATCAGTTAGACATCCCATTAGTCAGACATCCCATCAGTTAGACATCCCATCAATTAGACATCCCATTAGTCAGACATCCCATTAGTTAGACATCCCATCAGTTAGACATCCCATTAGTCAGACATCCCATCAGTTAGACATCCCATCAGTTAGACATGCCATTAGTCAGACATCCCATCAGTTAGACATCCCATCAGTTAGACATCCTATTAGTTAGACATCCCATTAGTCAGACATCCCATCAGTCAGACATCCCATTAGTCAGACATCCCATCAGTTAGACATCCCATCAGTTAGACATCCCATTAGTCAGACATCCCATTAGTCAGACATCCCATCAGTTAGACATCCCATCAGTTAGACATCCCATTAGTTAGACATCCCATTAGTCAGACATCCCATCAGTTAGACATCCCATTAGTCAGACATCCCATTAGTCAGACATTCCATTAGTAAGACATCCCATCGGTTAGACATCCCATTAGTCAGACATCCCATCAGTTAGACATCCCATTAGTCAGACATCCCATCAGTTAGACATCCCATCAGTTAGATATCCCATTAGTCAGACATTCCATCAGTTAGACATCCCATTAGTCAGACATCCCATCAGTTAGACATCCCATCAATTAGACATCCCAATAGTCAGACATTCCATTAGTAAGACATCTCATCGGTTAGACATCCCATTAGTCAGACATCCCATCAGTTAGACATCCCATTAGTCAGACATCCCATCAGTTAGACATCCCATCGGTTAGACATCCCATTAGTCAGACATTCCATCAGTTAGACATCCCATTAGTCAGACATCCCATCAGTTAGACATCCCATCAGTTAGATATCCCATTAGTCAGACATTCCATCAGTTAGACATCCCATTAGTCAGACATCCCATCAGTTAGACATCCCATCAATTAGACATCCCAATAGTAAGACATCCCATTAGTTAGACATCCCATCAGTTAGACATCCCATTAGTCAGACATCCCATCAGTTAGACATCCATCAGTTAGACATCCCATTAGTCAGACATCCCATTAGTCAGACATCCCATTAGTCAGACATCCTAATTGTTATATATGGTTAATTAGGATAAGATGGAACATATTAAATGGATCAGTCCTAATACGATTAATAATTAGTAATTATTACAATATATAAAACCTTTTATTTTTATATAATTTATTTTTACCTGATGGTTGCTTATTAGACTGATGGTCTGTGTGGGTTTTAACTGTTGTACTAGCAACTTTGATTGGGCTTGTTGTAGTGTTTGCTTCACTCTGAGACGAAACGATAGCTGTTTGAGATGTGGTAATTGGTGTTTGAATCTTGGATAATGGCTCTACTGATGACCGTGTCCAAGGCCATTTTGATGTCGAGGATGTCCTTCGACTAACACATTCATAGTTTATTCTAGTGTAAGCATTGATATAAATATTTTTATCTTTACATTCTGAAGGATTTTGTGTAATATGAAAGGCAAATTTGGTAAATTTACAGTCTTCTTTTCCCGAACAATTAGAGTTAACCTCACGCAGCTCATTCTCAGAGAATTCTAAAAAACAATCATCTTCCATATATTGGCAACACGGCGAGGAGCAGGTGCTATGTTTTGGTGCCAATTGTGGACCACAACCTATTCTAAATCCAAACACCGCATCTATAATCCTTATAACTTTTCCATCTTCACAAGTCAATGTATGTCCAGAACAGGTTTTATCTCCGTGTCGTAAACAAGCGATACTAGAAGATTCTGAAACTAAAAGCTTTTATCAGTTAGACATGGAACTATCTATTCCTAGGGTTCATTCTTAAAAATGGTATCTCAAAAAATTTCACATTCGACAGTGATAGCAAAGTATATGGTATTCCCCTCAAAATGTTACATTCTGCGATATCGTAATGAAATTTTGGGAATTGATGTTAAAGTTCATTAGCTGTTACCAATGTATTGTCAACCTGTTTTTTTTATTTGGATTTCGGGTTTCGTTTTGCAGTTCGGATCGTTAAAACTTGTACTTGGTTTATTTAATTATGAGAATATATAAGCAATTGCCCCTCCAAATAAACAAGACCTGTATAGAAAACAATTTCATGTACAAATAATCACCAACAGCGTATTGTTCCATATCTGTAGCTGTTGATCTATGGTCAACACAACACGAGTATGATATCCTTCGGAATCTAATTTGAAATATGTTCAGCATCTGAAACGAGTCTAGTTTCGAAGGGCAATTGTATATGTAGTTACATCATGTATATTGATAACGGGTATATTTCTGAACCGACATACGATTTTAAATGAAAAAATTAACTTTTTTTAAAATCAAAAACACAGCATTGGATAATGGCGATTAAACCAGAGCATTTACCGTGCATTATATTAGTAGAATAATCTAATTACCGATCATGGGTACCAAGAGCATCATTGGGATGATCAAACAGGCTTCTATTGGATTCTGCATGCTTTATGGAAAACTATATCGTGCGTTAAACATAGAATTAACACTTTTAAAATCCATTATTGTTTAACAACTGGGAAAATCTCCTTTACAACACAGTTCCCACGAAAGGAAATACACTTTCGTTCAACAAAGACCCAGGAATATCAACTAGAGATCTTAGATCCTTCAGAAGAAACACGATAGCACCTTTCTCGGGCCAGCATTAAAGAAGTACTAACTGTAGCTGGTATTCAGGACACTACACTGTGAAATATGGACTATATCTCGAATAGACCAGGAACATTTTAAATCATTATCAAGATAACGCTGTAATAAATAACCTTTATTGATAAGCTTCTAATCCTTACTAGTAAAATTGGTCTGAAGGGATTTCTGTCGTATTGTTTAATAATCTCTATCAGCTTCAAGCTGGTATTTTACATTATTGCACAGTACATGGCATTTTCCGCTTTCATTATCAAGATCAGGAGCAGATAAGAATGATGTACATCTGTTTCATTTATTTTATCAGGAGTAAGTCAGTAGAGTGTAGGTAGACTATTATAGCCTATATAGACTATATTAGCGTATAAACTCAATAATAGAAATATTATAACAGAACCCTAAAAGAAGTCAAAAATATATATTCACATTGTATCATTGAATAATGCATGTTTACATGTGTGCTTTCTTTGATATAAAAAAAGAAAAATTCAAATATTTGACATGGTCTGAAATTTGGCATTAGAATCCAATATACAGTTTTTATACTGACAGGGTATGCTTACTCTTCTAGACACCTGATACTACTTTTCATTATGAAATACTTCTTCACTTATGATTGATGTACTTCCTCATGTGAAAAGTTCAATAGCTGCTTCTAATATTTCGCCAATATGTTGGGGTTCGTTTTGCGGTTCGGATCGTTAATACATGGTTTATTTACCCTCAATGATGATAAGAGGGACTGCTGCTGATGACAGATGAGCGCTAGATATGGTCACTACGATGAACAAATTGACACATTTTGGGCAAGGGCCTCGAGAATGACCCCGTTACACCGGCTTAGTCGAGGGCAAATGTTAAGGAAACGCTAGAAAAAGTTCCGTAAAATTAAAAACTTTACATCAGTTTCTAATAAATCTATCTATATATATATATATGGCCAATCGAACTGTATCTTCCTTCACGGTTATACCACGCTCGGGCATGGTGACCTTTACATGTTCCGAGTAAATTTTCAGTCGCCTTAGCAGCTCAACTCTCAAAAACACTTATTCAAGCAATTATATGCCCTAATTAAGAATTGATTTATCTTAGCTACGACAAGTAGAATAAAAGTTTGAACATCTTTCTCGAGTTTTGCATCATTGACTAATATGTGTTTCAATATGTTATTTATATCCGATTGTAAAAAAAGGCCCAGTTGTACAAAGATTTCTGCCTCTCAAGCCAATTTGGAGCCACCACGTCTACTCTGAAAGCTTATAGAAGTTTAACAACGGATGTCCTACGTTGGAAGCTTAAATTATTGACAACAGTGATACTACTCTGAAAGTATATATCCTACTTTAAAAGCCCAAAAATTGTTGACAACAGTGATCCTATTATGAAAGTTTATAGAAGTTTAACAACGGATGTCATTCTTTCAAGGCTGAAAGATGGTGGACAACAGCTATCTTACCACGAAGGTTTAAAGATTGTAAATAGTAGATATCTTACCATGAAAGCTTAAAGATCGTAGAAGAAAGTTGAATATAATTCGATCGAGACTGTTGTAATGGATAAAATGGAAAAGTTACAAAAATTATATTTTATTTTTGGTCATGATAAATCTTATTTCCCTTCATTGGCGTTTGCCTATGACTCGCTGAAAAAGATAATTGGAGGAACCCTGTTTGTCATTTTGTCTAATGGTTTTCATTTTTCCCAATGGTTCTCCTTTTATGTATTGCTCGTGGGGGTTCTTTTGGTCATGTCACGATACCAATTCATGGGTAGGGCAAATTCAGTTCACCCACCAGCATCCCTTCGAACACACAACAGACAACTCGAGTTTAGCGTTTTACCCTTTATACAAAAGCTAAAATACAGTAAATACAATGTCATACAATAGATAGCCTACATTAAACAAGAGGTAAAACATTTTTCAGTTTCAGGTTTGGATATTCAGTCCTCATCAGGTGGTACTTCATCCCAGGTGAATGTCTCAACGCTTTCAGAATCCAATAGATAGAACCAAGCAACATCTGCATTAGAATCTCTGGGATGATATTCTTCGACGGTACAAAAGTTTAGTACAACTGGCATCCATTCGTCGGCGGTCCATTCTGGAGAGGGTACAATGTCCGTCATTCCTCTGGGGCCAACGCTTTTGATCAAGGCCGCGTCTAAACTCTCTAATTCTTCTTTTCCAGGCGTAAACACTGAACTTTTCCTCAGATTTAGACGTAGAAGTTGGGTAATAGCTAACCTTAATAATTTGACATTCTTCTTCTTCTTCTTTTTCTTCGCCTCTTCTGCATATTTCAAAGACTTCTCCGTAGCAATAACAGTATCAACAGTTTTGGTGGTTTCATCAGGGCGCTATGATGTTGTTGTCAAACAGTCGCCTAGGGTAGAAAGGTCGACAAATCCGTCGGAATATTCGGTATCGGCTGTGCATTCAAACACTCCGTTCCCCCATGATTCCACAGTCGAGGCACTTGTGATTGAACTCGTTGGGTCTTTTGATGCCTTACTTTTTGGGTGTGCTTGATTTTCTTCTTTTTTTCTCTCGGGGTTCTCGTTTGGCAGGTACCGTATCATCCATAACTGTTTTCCTTGTTGTCGTTCTGGGCAATTTCGATACCCACCTGGTTCTCACTTTAGTATCCATAAGAGACGGTATTGATTGACTCATTCAGGTCGTTGAAAGGTATAATCCGTTTGGTATAAGCGACTTTATATTGCTTATCTTCGGATCAAAGTGCAAAGGCGGCGGGCACGTGTCCGGATAATTTTGAAGTGATTGGTGACGATGAGAGTCGAAATTTGATTGCTGTGAACCGCTGTAGCGTAAAACCTCGCACCTTGCACAAGGTTTGGCCATTTGACAGTTTATAAGCGTAGATTTTGGCACATCCACTAATAAACTCGGTAATGGCCATGTTCTCCTGCAATTCGTCTTTCCACTCCCCCAAACTATTGTCTCGTGGTGGATTCCACTGGGTTGTGAACGTAGATGACGCTGTCGGTGTCAAAATAGCAAACGCGTTCACCCAAGAATTCCAAGACAGAGTAAAGTTTCGGGCATTCCTGGGCTGCGTCGAAGGCCGCAATGACAACATTGGTAATGGGTGAAGGGTTTAAGTGCTCTTCCGATTATAAACGTTCGACCATGACCATGTTATTGACCAACTGGACATCTTTGATCGATTCCGTGACATCGGTGAGAAGTTCGAAATATCTGTCTGGTTCGGTGATGTATTCCGTTTGACCGAAGTTATCTCATTGACCAAATTTTCCCCATAGAATATTGAGTTTGAGTTTACTGCAGCTCCGAATACCATTGTTGTAAACCATGTTGACATTCGGGAGTGTAGCAACTGCTTTCCGTTTTGGTTTTCAAGTAGAGGTCAATGTAGGCTGTTAACAATTCTCCTTTTTTTTTCGTCTGACTGTCGTACTGGCTCCATTTGTCTTCTGACCAATGCCACACTTCAAAGACGTCTGTGATGGTATACCCCAGTGAAGCGGCTTTCGAGGGACGCGTAAGTCCGACCCAAGCTCGTTATTTTATTCAAAGGGCAACACGGGGTGATATAATTGTCTCGGTGGTACGACTTTACACTGGATTAATCCCTCGGTCAGGTTCTGTGATGATTTTGGGTTCTTGAATGGAAAATTGTCCGTATGTAGGGATACAAAGATACCACATGCAAGTATCTGATTTCTTGTGGTCCTTTCAGTTGGATGACATTGGTCCTTCCAACGAAAAAGGCGTCTCGGGGAAGGAGAGGTTCTGGATACGGCCATCCCTTGGCTTCCAAAGACCGTACTTAAGCATAGAGACGTTCACGAGTGTGTACATAAAGTTATAGCATCGTACATGAGGGGACGTACGGATGAAAATGTTTAACGTCTTGAACGCGCTGTCATTGTTCCTCCAACAGAGTCCGACAATCTGACAAGACATTTGAGACTTGATATTCGCGAATTGAAAAGCTCGTGTTTATCATGTAGGCTGCAATAAAAATATTGTTTTTATTACGTGTGAAAAAACGAAACAGTAAATAAATCATTTTTCAACATCTATCGTATGTCCTTTGACAGCAAATGTTTAGCTATCCACTGTGGTGAGTTTCAACGTGAATTCCTGAACTATGAACTATGAAATTACTTGATGTTTTCAGTATACCTAGAACAAATAAGAAAATCAGTTACAAAATGGACTGTAATTCAGAGATAAGTTACATTGTCCATAACAGTCAAAACCAATTTGTGGAATGTGTATACACAAACCAGCTGCAAAAGAGAGAAAAGAGGTCTCTTGGTCTGACGGAGCTGCAGTGATTTAATATAAATCTTTTGTGACACCAGTTCTGCAACACCCCGTATATAAAACAAATATCAATAAATGGAATTTTGTCATTTCACAAATTTACTTTCAAGCCATTACACCGTTTTGAGGTCAATACAAAACATGTATATAGTTTTACAATTTTACATTTAAATACACACACTTTCATCCAAAATTTGTCCTCTAAAATAACCAACATGGACTGAGAATTCTGTTCGTAAAGCCATATTTCCTAAAAATACTTACCAATATAACTCTTAATTTGAACATGGTCATTGTCGCATTGGTAACAACTTCTAACATAATTTGACCATCACTCTCTAAGCTGTCTAATACCTCCTCAAAACCAACTAATTTCATTTCTATTTCAGCTTCCTCCAGTTTCCTCCTGTCAATTGAGTTGAAATCGACCAGTAGTCCTGTACTCTGCTCAGTGATACTATAATTGAGATATTGTGACCTGGACTGTCATTATCACCTATAATAACAAAAGCACTTAGCATTTATAAAAACTGTATAACCTCATTGGCTAATTTTATATCACAGTATCACAGGAAATTGATTACTGATTGGCATATTTCTCTGTGACAATACGTTCAAGTGGTGCTGATCCCAGAGAATGCTGTAATGTAGACGATCTGTCTCTATTCAGATGTCAGCTGGTGTAAAGACAGAAAAAATAGGACCTGTTAACTGGGAACATTCTGCGGTGCGGGTTTTTTTTTATACCTATTTAGATACCTAGGATCTGCAAAACCCAGGTATATTTGGAAAGATGAATATTTTTGTAGTTCAGCCATACCATCATTTTCTCCCTAAACCATTTATGTCATGTCTCAGATTCCATCAAAGTTTTTTTTTTGGCGAAACTGATCTAGCATTGGCCATTTTAAACTGTGTGCGCAGCTGTGGAGGAAGTTCAAAGGTCACAGAGTCACGTGATACTAACAAAACGAAAGTTACGATGATGCCCAACACTAATTTACAATCATCTTAAAGGTAATTCAATATTATGTTAGAGAAAACGCATCTTTGGAGGTGTGGAAAATTTAACAGGGTCCTTTTTCTTCTACTCCAACTGACAACTTGTCAAAATATCCATCAGAGGGCAGAATAGACGTTTCGGACTAGTCATAATGGTCGAGATCTCAAATTTGATTATGAAACACATTCAAAATATCATTAGAGTATAAATTGATGAGCCAGAACAATTGTGATAATGATAAATTATTATGTCCATTGTAAATACTAATTAAATATAAATGTAAAAGCTAAAAATCAAGGAAGAGCAGTTAGTACTAATGTTTTACTGACTTTCTAAATAGAAACTGAATGGTTTGTAAGTTTAAAAATATCATTTACCATGTAAAGTCAGATCATTTCCAAGAAGATTGGACCATTCTCTACCGAAAATTTGTAATTGCTGGTGAACAGTAGTGTTTCTGTATTCTGTTAAATGTTGATTCAGAAACACATCCCATATTCATAAACTGGAATAGCATGGCAATCTTTCTGTAGTTATTACCAGAAGCCAGAATATTGGAAGCCAATAAAAAATCACCTACTCTTATTCTTCGAACTACTGGCTGAGAACACCATCTTTCTATTTTGTGACCTGAAGTACACATCTAGGAGAAAAAAAAATAATCTGTCATAAAAGTCCATACAAGCAAAAATCTTGTCTAAAGGGTGGCAAAATAGGCCATAAAAGTTGTACAGTTGTGAACTCTCCAAAGAGAAGTGCCATCAGGTGTTTCGAAAAGAGTAAGCATTACTATACCTGCACCACTATTTAGGCTAACATTACGAGATACAACCAGACTAAACAAACATATCAGCCAAAATGAAAGAAGCAGATTTAAAATGGATCATACTATTATCACCACAGTGTAACAAAAACAGAACATGGCTACTGATTTGGCACAATTTATTTACATGACCTGCAGGGCAGCTCAATTGATAGACCTTTAATATCCTCTACCAGACATTACGACAGAATGCAATCAGAGCATACATGCAGTTTATCCAATGTGCAGCCATTGATGTCCTGTTTTATAAAAATAATTTTTCAAAGGCTTTTTTTTGCTTAATCTCACGCCATTCAAAATGCTTATGCAAATTTAAGGGATTGTAAAGAGATTTTCTCAATTTTAATGTGTATAGAGAACAATGTTAAGCATCAATTTACACCATTCAAATTTTCAATCAGAAATCTATGGTTCCTGCAATTCCACTATTAAAAACTAAGTGTTTGATGGCGTCACTAATCTAATCTCAAACTATGCTTTATCACATAAGGCCCTTCGTGATTAGTGACATCATCAAATACTTTTAGTGCGTGAAGTTGCAGGAACAACAGACATCTGATTGAGAATTAGAATTGTGCAAGTTGATACAATTAGTGTCCAAGATACACATACAAACTTTTAGAAAACATCTTTACCATCCCTTTAAGATACCACAAAATTGACATACCCATATAATAAGAGTTGAGGACCCTACATGCTTCAATTCTTCTGTAATAACACCATCACATTTTCTACACTTTGCTGGTATTTTAAGTTTAGATAAGACAAGGAGTTGTGAATCAAACACAATGGACAAATGATCTTTTAATAAATTGCTAACAGAATCTTCATCTGTTATTGTATCAGCCTCTATCTCTATATCTTCATCTCTGTCACTCTCCAATAATTCACAGTCTTCACCTTCACCTATTGTTTGTAGATCATCATAATCTATGTAGACATTCCTGAAAACGAATACAGACCATACCATACAGTCCAGTATATAATGATCAAATTAAATGAATGGAGGTTTAAGAATTCCAACTGTTGAGGGATGTTTAACATGCACAACCTGTAACTAGACGCTTTCTCCATGTGACCCGCTCCAACCTGCATCACTGACATGTTAAAATATCTAAAGGTGTTATCTCAATCTATGCCATGACTGAACCCTGGACATTCAGGTTAGCCAACAAGCATGTAACTCACTGTGCATCCCTGTAATGATTAAGAGAAATCTTGTCTAACAGGCAACTTTTGTGACATTATTGGTAGACGTATGTCACAAGGTGACACTGAATTATTACTTTTAATTATCACTCTTCTAAAGCATTCATTTTAGTGCAGTGGAAATCAATGACAGCTGCAGAACTTTGGATTGGAGGGATCCACCCCCAAGTTTGTATTTATTTCGAATCCTTTTTTTATGCTATTTTAAAGAGAATTCATTCCAAAATTTTAGCATTAATTTAATGTTGACAAAAGTTTTACTATGTCTCATAATAGCCAATTCAACCCATAGATCATATGTAATAAAAAATAAATGGGACTTTTCAAATAAACACTAATTTTCTATTAGTTCTGTATCATAGCCAATTAGCAGATTAATTAATTTACTAAAAACTCCAAAAGCACATCCAGAGCACCATACCATTAAAGCAAAAAAAACTGACAAAAAAATGGCTTTAGACATTTATACTAATAGCTTAAACAAGAATAAGAATTAGACAAAAAACAAAAAATGAGGAAGGAAACTTACTTCCCTTTATTGGACCTAGACCACTTACACCACTGTCTATAGATGAACCCAAACAGCAAGGTGAGTGAGATAACATGGAAGCTAAAATACTTACTGATAACTGACTTGATCTGAATCAGGGACACAATCGCTATCATCTTCATCATCTTGGTTTGTCAATCCTCCCAAATCACTTTCTGTTTTAATTGCAACATTATCAACACTGCAGCTACTACCATCACTTCTTTCAACCTTTACATTCTTCTTAATCCTACAATGAATAATAATTAAAACAATTAAAGATGGTTTTCCTTATTAATTAAGCAAACTATTTTATTAATTCGTGTTTCTAATGATTTATCATGTATTCTTATCATATCATTTTGTTCTTATTGCATATAATTAAGGGTTTTAACTAGTCGTAAATGTTCATGTATGTACAGTCTGGATAAGCAAAAAAAGACTTGGTAATTCTCTTCTAATTTAGCTAATTATGAATTGATTATGGACATGTGAGAAAAAATTGGTATTTTTCCAAGTCATTAGAACACCTCTACTTTCTATTTATATAAGTATTAGCATTTTCATTTTCATAAAAGTAAATAAGAGAACCCATCTTTAACAATGCTATCAATTAGTAAAATTGAAAGAACATTTCCACAATGTCATTACCAACTTTGTCTTATACCTTGAGTCCTTGACTGCTATAGCCAACTTTCATGTTGTAACAAAGTTTATAAATGCAACCATATGATTGAATTGTATTCTACCGTACACAGCCAATTAGAGGCTAGCTAAGCTATAGTGTTTACAGTCATTATGTTGAGAGCACTGATCGACTGTATTCACATCCGTACAATCAAATTGTTGCATTGCATTGTTGATACACGACTGATGGCTATTGCAGGCACGGTATAAGACAAAGTTCATAATAGCTTGACATTGTGAACATTGTGAATGTATTCGGTCTTTGTTATTCTATAATTAACACCAAAAGGATTGTAAAGAGGTTTTCCAAATTTTTTATTTGTATCAGGCACACTGATAGTATTAATTTGCACAATTCAAATTTTCAATCAGACATCTGTGGTTCCTGCAATTCTACTAAATGTCTGATGATGTCAATAATCACGAAGGGCCTTATGCGAAAAAGAAAATCTCGGCATTAATGTTTAATCAAAACTTAGTTTAAGTGGAATTGCAAGAACCATATACGTCTGATTGACAAAACACAAAAAAAAATTCAAAAAACCTCTTTTCAATCCCTTTAATCATGTAAAGTAACACTTTCATCTTAAACTGAAAGGTAATCATCTTACTGTTTATTGGTTCTGTCCTGTTGATCATGGCTTGAGTCCATTTTCTTCACTTCACCGTGACTTTTACTTGGTTCTATTTCAGTATCACTGCTGCTATCTTTATTTGAATTGAGCCTAGAGAATTAAATATAATCATTTTTTGAAAATTACCCTGAGCTTTTAAGTTACACATAAGTAGTAGTAGAAGAATATTACATAAGAAACTGAAACATGTTCTCACTCAAGTGTTCCACACTGCATGATCTTCAGACAACTGATATATTTCAGCCTGTAGCTCTACTGAAGTTCGACAAAGCCTAAACAAATAGAATTTAACAACGTAACCTGTATATAACCATAAAACTCTACAACATATATGCCTGTAAGTACGATTCAAACTTGTCTTGAAGTGAAGACACAAGAACATGTACTACTTGTCAAACGCAGGATGTAATAAGTCAGTTGTCTGAATATTGCACAGACTAAAACTTCTAGTTACAAAACATGTATATTAGAATTGTGGTATGGAACATGACTTCATTCATGAGAATCATTCAATAATCTAAATTAATCATACCAGAAATCATGGAATAGATATGATATCTGAAATGGTGAGCACTACACTAAGGATTACGCAGAATGTTCAAATTTTATATAGTATATATTTTTTTTTTATAAACAATATTTTATTAATACATTAAAGAGACTAGGGGAACAGGCTTATGCCTATATAACCCCCTCTCCATGATAAATTTCAAAGTTAATATTAAATATAAGAAAAGTAAATAAAGTAAGTAAATATATAGTATACAATAAGACTTACCTATATATAGATGAAGCTTGAGTCAAGTAAGGTACAATAGGATCGTGGTCTGCAAGTTTACTAGTAGTGGTCAAGCTGATCTTAGGCCTGTGCCGGAAAGGTGTCAATAGTCGCCTAGTAGATGGAGAATAAATGATTCCATGAGTGATTGAACAATTTTGGGTTGCTTCATGCTCTTGCTGTAATTTCCAACTACAAAAGCAAATTAACAATCAAACTATGAAATATTAAAACGTCTGGGATCACTAAATTGAGCGATCTACGCCTGAAAATTACACGGCTGGGTTCAGATATTTGACATAAAGATCCTTGTTAAAGAACGCCAAGCACACATTCTCACTAAGCAACGGTCTTGACATCTCAATCTCGCTTTCAGCATAAAACTGGGCTCTTTAAATATAAGTTCGAAACTGCATCTATTTAGTACGTTTCAGTTTTTAGTTTTTTGATGTTATAAAGTGCTAGCGGAGAATAACAAAGCAATGGCATTGGTAAGTTTATATCATTGATATTTTGTCTGTGAAGCATTTGATTTAAAATATTCAAAAAACCTGTTAGGCGGCCTTGGCCTAATCCTCTTTAAATTATCCTATTTAAATGATCCAAACAGCAATAGACAAAAATTTACCATATTGAACTCAGAATTTCAACTTTTTTTACATCTAAATACACATTTCACTATCAAATATTTCTTTTGGATGGGCAACAGTGTCCATTTTATTACCTTTCATAATGATCCAGCAACATCTGTGCCGCTTGTTCATCGTTTATCACTCTGTTAGCAGTTTTAAAATCTTGCCATCTTGTTATTTGACTAAGTATATTTACAGCTGAATGCAAAGATTCGCGTTTCTTCCTCTGATATTCTCGATCACGAGCAAGCTTTCGGCTTTTCTTAGTGGAATCAGACAAAGCGTTTTTTCTTTTCGCTCGGACTCGAGTTTCGCTATCCGCCATTTTGAAAACTTTCGTTTTGTTTTTTAACAGCCCTCTGTTCTATAAATAGGTCTGTGCTATGAATTCTGGGACAATTTCCATACATTGTGGAAAGGATAATATTAAATCAAATTCTGCTTATCCATACCCTTACAGTTCATCAACTTAATATTATAGATGATTAAGTAAAGCATGGATTAAAAGATAATATACTTCAACTGTTAGAATTGTAAATATTGCAAATTAGATATTAAGTTGAAAGGTAGCCTACCAAGTTACTATTCAACAGAAGACTTTTTGACCTTTCTTGATCGGTCTAATGTACATGTAGTTAGTTGTACATGTAGTTTGTTGTACATGTAGTTTGCTGTACATGTAGTTTGCTGTACATGTAGTTTGTTGTACATGTAGTTTGCTGTACATGTAGTTTGTTGTACATGTAGTTTGCTGTACATGTAGTTTGCTGTACATGTTGTTAGTTGTACATGTAGTGTTGTACATGTAGTTTGTTGTACATGTAGTTTGCTGTACACGTAGTTTGCTGTACATGTAGTTTGTTGTACATGTAGTTTGCTGTACATGTAGTTTGCTGTACATGTAGTTTGTTGTACATGTAGTTTGTTGTACATGTAGTTTGCTGTACATGTAGTTTGTTGTACATGTAGTTTGCTGTACATGTAGTTTGCTGTACATGTAGTTTGCTGTACATGTTGTTAGTTGTACATGTAGGTTGTTGTACATGTAATTTGTTGTACATGTAGTTTGTGGTACATGTAGTTTTTGTACATGTAGTTTGTTGTACATGTAGTTTGTTGTACATGTAGTTTGTTGTACATGTAGTTTGCTGTACATGTAGTTTGTTGTACATGTAGTTTGCTGTACATGTAGTTTGTTTATCATGTAGTTTGTTGTACATGTAGTTTGTTGTACATGTAGTTTGTTGTAGTTGTAGATACGATCTTGTTGAAGATTTTTATGTAAGGATAACTAAATTTGGCAAGTAATTGTGTTCTAACAACTGAATAAAGAGAGTTATGTCCCTTCATTAACAAACTGTGACAGTAAATTGCTTGAAAAGAGAACTGAATAATACACACAACGGTCTCTTCCCTCATTCAGGATCTAACGACATTTATCTGAAAGATGTGTTCACAACAGCCTACCAATAAACTATAGACCCGTTAAAGAAGTTCTACGTCTTAAAATGGATCTCAAATTTAATTTCTAGTCTAAGGTTTGCCAGTACGAGTATGCTATATTCAAAAGGTGGACTTATATGATGTCATATCGAAACGAAAACAAATCCAATTAATCCATAAATCCATATAATCTGATAGCGTTTTTCTTACTTAGTTTTAAGGATTTATCATCTTAGACACGGAATTCTGTTGTATTATGACACCAGGTAAGTCCACTTATTGACCTAACATACACTCTCATTTTAGAATATAAATGTTATGTTCATTCTTAGAGGTAGAATTCCTTTCAGTAAAGAATTCAGTTAGGGCTATGCCTTCTACTTTAATGAGTATAAATTGATTGGTAAGATACTGTAAATCCACTGCAGTATTTCGTCGATGATCTTCGATCTTCCTTAAAGTTGGATGTAACCAAATTGACATTAGCAAAGAAAATTACCACAGTAAAAAAACATTTTAACCAGATGGAATGATCTGTAATCTTACATCTATTTTCCATTTTAACGAAAGGGGTATACCCCTTGGAAGAGTGAGTATGAGCCAGCCTTAAATAACTAGAATTAGTTTATTTCTCCCTTTGTTCACAGTTTTATCAATTTTTGTAACTTTGTAATATCATTCCTTGTTTTTCTTTCAATGCCAGTAAGCTTATAGGAAGTAATCCTTATTTTATCAACTTCATTAGTTAAATGTTTCTTCAGGACAGTTAATATTTTCAACTTACGGATTTGACTCTGCCTTAAAACTCTAATATAATTAATACAGAAGAGACAGTGTTAACCGGCACCATATTGCCAATTAATAGTAAAGGAACCGTTCGAAAGATGGGAATAAAAAGATAACAGAAAAGAATTGCTCGTCATGGAGTGGCTAAATTCTACTTTTAACAGTGTAGGTTATGTCAAATCTGATCGTTGTAAAATCTTCAACTTTTACAACAACTGTGATATTTGCTAATGTCATAATAACCCAGTGGTGTTAAATAGAAACTTTACGTAACAATTCACACAAGTACTCAAGCACCAGGAAAAGGTTTCAATCTCTAATATATTCTGATCACATTTATTTATTGTTAGTTGGATTTGACAAGAAACTTGCTGACTCTATAACTGGCGTCTGATAGTTAATATTGATTGGCGTCGTTTGGGAAATGGCTGAATCTAGCTTTTTGCCTCTGATAGTTATTGTTGACGAGGGTTGACTTTATATCTTGCCTTTCAAAGTTATTGTTGATAAAGTTCTGCGAAGATATCTTCCCTCTGAATGTTTTTATTGATGAAATCGAAACCTGCCGACTCTATAACTGTCCTCTGATAGTAATTATTGACAGCGGTCGATCAGAAACGTACTGACTCTATAACTGTCCTCTGATAGTAATTATTGACAGTTGTCGATCAGAAACGTACTGACTCTATAACTGGCCTCTGATAGTAATTATTGACAGTGGTCGATCAGAAACGTACTGACTTTATAACTGGCCTCTAATAGTAATTAATGTCAGTGGTCGGTCAGAAACGTACTGACTCTATAACTGGCCTCTGATAGTAATTATTGACAGTGGTCGATCAGAAACGTACTGACTCTAAAACTGTCCTCTGATAGTGATTATTGACAGTGGTCGATCAGAAACGTACTGACTTTATAACTGGCCTCTAATAGTAATTATTGACAGTGGTCGGTCAGAAACGTACTGACTCTATAACTGTCCTCTGATAGTAGTTATTGACAGTGGTCGGTCAGAAACGTACTGACTCTATAACTGTCCTCTGATAGTAGTTATTGACAGTGGTCGGTCAGAAACGTACTGACTCTATAACTGTCCTCTGATAGTAGTTATTGACAGTGGTCGGTCAGAAACGTACTGACTCTATAACTGTCCTCTGATAGTAGTTATTGTCAGTGGTCGATCAGAAACGTACTGACTCTATAACTGGCCTCTAATAGTAATTAATGTCAGTGGTCGGTGAGAAACGTACTGACTCTATAACTGGGCTCTGATAGTAATTATTGACAGTGGTCGATCAGAAACGTACTGACTCTATAACTGGCCTCTAATAGTAATTATTGACAGTGGTCGATCAGAAACGTACTGACTCTATAACTGGCCTCTAATAGTAATTAATGTCAGTGGTCGGTGAGAAACGTACTGACTCTATAACTGGCCTCTAATAGTAATTATTGACAGTGGTCGATCAGAAACGTACTGACTCTATAACTGTCCTCTGATAGTAATTATTGTCAGTGGTCGGTCAGAAACGTACTGACTCTATAACTGGGCTCTGATAGTTATTATTAATGAAGGTTTGCGAAGAACGTTATTGTTATATCTTACCTTTGAATTTTATACCATTAACCCACATGGTGCAGAAAAGTTAGA